GGTATCATTGTTTTATCAGCCCCCCAAAGTTTAAAATTAAATTGAATTCCTGATCAGGACTTAATGTTTTCTTAATATATATGTGTTATTAACAATTAAAAACAAAAACTTAAACAAAATGCAGAAAGCACCAAGTTAAAAAGTCCCACTTACTGTTTCAGAGGCTAATTAGTGGCCCTTGTTACACCAAATGCCAAGAAGGAATATCTGTGTGTAGGGCTGCCACGATTAGTCGATTAGTCGACGACTAATTGATTATTAAAATAATCGATGACTAATTTAATAATCTATTAATTGTTTTCTTTTTTTGTTTGTTTTTTACTTTGTTTTTCTCTCCAAACTGCTTTGACACCTTCCACTGCCACATCTGCCTTTCTGTCCTTGACACACATGCACAGTAGTGGTAACTGGGGTAGGCCGTGGACGTTACAAGACATTATACAGACAGGCTCTGGTATCATTTTAAGAAAATGAAAGAGAAACCTGTGCAATGCAAAATCTGCAAGGCAGAACTTGCCTTTCACAGCAATTATTTTTAGTTAGCATATAGCTAAAATCTAACCATGGTTATATAATAGCAGCTGCATTCTGGCTCGATAAGCTGTATGTTTTATATTCAATTAACGTATGACCGATTAGTCGACTAATCGAAAAAATAATCTGTGATTAATCGATTATAAAAATAATCGTTTGTGGCAGCCCTATCTGTGTGTGTGAGATTTAGTAAGATAGAGAGTTCTGCTATTGAAAATAAATGGTATATCACCAGTAGTTGAACTGATGATGGCCACTAAAAAATTAATAGCTTACAACCCAACCCTAAGGGTGCATTGAGGGTGTTTGGTGGGTTTGCTATCCCCCCCCCCCCCCCCCCCGAATAATGCTTTGAGAATCTCTGTATAAGCTTTGTATGTATGGTCAGCTTTTTGAAACTGCAGCTCAAGACTAAAAATGGCCTTTTTCCTTGCTGTTGTATTTATGACCATTATTTAGTAAAAATGCAAATGTAACCAGATGGCATTTTTTAAGTATAATTTTAAAAATAAAAGTAAATGTTCAAATATTTCTCCAGCAACAAATTGGCTTTACATAAGTGCATTAGAGTGCAACTCTAAAAAGTGAAATATGAGTTATTTTCAAACCAAACAATTCAAGAATAAGATTTGAATCATATTTTTTGGAGGGCTTGACAATTACACTTCATGTAACATTACAAAAGTAAAATCTGTGGCATCTAAAAAACAAATAACATGGAATATACAAAATTGCAACTCTGGCAGAACGCCAATAAATGCAGTATAAGCATTAGTGTCACCTTCTGTTCGAAAACCAGCTGTTGTGTCAGTTTATCCCTCAAGGGACCAGTTCAGGATAGTATGTCAGAACCCTTACTGGTGATTATCAGTGACATAAAAATATCCCTGCAGTGGTTTAGAAATAGCATTGGTAATGTGTTTCACTTTGATATGCTAATTAGCAATGTTTAAAATGTGTTGCATTAGGCATATGGTGTCCTCAGTGAAATAAAAGGGCTATGATAGTCCATTTTCAATACTTCAGATCAGATAATGACATTCTTTTGTCTTTTTCAGCACTTTTTTTGTAGGTTGCCTAAATTAAACTATGATCCATATCTGCATTTAACATTTTAAACAGGTACTTTTAAGTATTTACAAATTTTGGTTAGTAGTCATTGATTACCATGTCATATTTTTAATTGTTACTGATGTATGCAACATCTCATTCACTTCTCAAAATAAAAACTACAGTAAATACATGTGAGAAGTTGTTGGTCTTGCTCTTTTTTTTAAATAGAACAATATTCAGACATTCACAGTAAAAAATCGTATTTGGAGGAATGCATATCACCTGGCGCCTAGATCCAAATGTTTCAAGCAAAAATGCTGTGTAATCTGTCAGCTCTCATGACTCTGAGCTACAACCACATCAAATATTGCCTCTGTAGAATTGACAGAGTTAACCATATTTGTGTTCACTTAGGCTAATTAGCTGTTGTGGCTGGCTGGAATGGGTATAACTTCAGTCAGCTCTAGATGAATTGATAACTTTTGTCAGACAATAATTATCACAAATGTAAGACTATAAAATTGGCATTCATACATTGATTACATGACATCCATATGTAAACCTTTATTGTTCAGCTGTATATAAGCATATAGGGGTATAAGTTTTCATGCAGAGCCACGACAGTCAGAATAGTCATAGTGGCTTTTTAACATAAATATTAATGGGGCAAACGTTCATTTCCTGAATCATTAACCACACGGTTAAAGATGGGCTATATGATGCTTACTATTCATTTAATGGCTTTTTTCCACAAAGGAGTCACCTTTTTTTCACCCTTTTTAATTTTAACTGTGTAATATAAAACGGATACAGGTACACAGCTTTCTGGACTGAAATTCTAATTTATTTGAAGGGATAATTCTCCAATCATACTTCAAACTGAGCAAAGATAAACGGGGGAAAAAACTTATTTTAAATTTTCTAAAAATGAGAAAAGTAAAGAAATGATGGTGGCATACGTCTCAACTACTTTAGTTTCAAGGCTGATTTATACTTCTATTCCTGTGACTTGCTTACAGTCGTGTGACAAAAATTATGTAACTTCTGTCTGTTATCTCCTGCTGACACCCTGTCTTGTACAATGTCCCCAGGGAGAACTCTGTCCTACAGACCAATGCGGTATACATTGTTTTATTGGCTAAAAGTTTGTGGGCATGCTTGTCTATGTGGACTTGTCTGTGTGTCCTTCCTGCATGTCATTTTGCTGAAAATAGTCATCTCCCAGAACCTGGTTGTAAAATAAGCAAGAGTGAATGTTTAACCAATGTTCACGTCTTCTTTCCATCTCCGTGGTTAACAAGAAAAACAAAAACTTCTCAACTAACAACAAGAGCATCTTTTCAAATGTCTGAAATGTCAAGTGAAAAAATGATTTATCATGCTATTGTTGATGTTTAAATGCTTAGCTATGATCGATATGGGAGTGCTGTGGGAGGGATTATAATGATTTGTCCCTCGCGTCTTCAACGTAAGTATAAAACTCTGTAAGAAAAAGACGTTTGAAATGATGTAATCACTGATTTGCTGTCTCATACCTTGTGGAAGTATAATTAGGCACATAAGTTCCATTCAGGGCTCAAATCTACAGACATGGGGTTACAAGACTTGAGTTCAGACTTGTGACATATCTGCATCTCACCACTTTTAGTAGCCATGTAAATTCTCCTCTGTCTTCAGTTTTCTATGTTTTTGTTTGGGTTTGCTCTCTCAACTCTAAATGGATTTTTGACCAGAATATCTCCACCGTTGGACACTCCAGGTTTTGCTTACAAGGAGGAATAATTGTAGGGTGTATTCACGCCAGGAAAGTCCTTTGGTCCACTTTTTTGGTCTGGACCAATTAGCTGACCTTTTTTTTTCTTTCGTGTGGTTTGAATTCACATTGGGCTTTTTGCAATTGGACTATAATTTATAAACAAAGTCATGCGGGTGAAGGTTATTGCTCCATTGGACAGAAAGGATAGGGGCAGGACAGCACAGACCTGGAAACAACGATGGTGCTGTTAATACAACTGACTAGTAAGATTATCAAAAGCAGCTCATTCAGTGGCAGTTTTGTATACACTTTTTGATATACTTGTAATTTTTGGGACAACATTGTCTAATGTGTGCCGCAACCTAAAGCAGGCAAGATGCTCTGTGTTCTCTGACCCACAATGGCTCATTGTTTTTAGTGTAGTGTTAGCATTAGCAACACTGGGGGGACTAATGATGCTTAGTTACGGTGGCCCATGAAGTCCAAAAAGGTGCATGTTTCCTGTAGTTGTTTCGGGTCAAAGCCAGTATTTAGTCGCACCAGAAGCGAACCAAGACCACCTCAAAAAATGGGTCTTGGTCCGGTTGTTTGATCTGCACCAGGGTTCACATGAGTGTATTCACACCTGCATAAAAGGTCTAGACCAATAAGGGAAACGAACTCTGGTCCGTTTAAAGCGGACCAAATGTGTCAGGTGTGAATACACCCTTAATGACCCCAATGAGACTGGAGCTGCCTGTTCCTATCACTGCTGCTGAGGAGATCCAATTAAATATGATGAATTGACTGACAAATGCGGGGCCTGCGATGACCTGTACAGTCCCATAACTGTAAATAA